GGGGATGCTCTGACCTGCAATACTAGCTCCAGAGCTCCTTGTCTCATCATCTGCCTCTGGCAAACCTAACTTCGAACCAAATGAACTCATGCAACCAACATGAGCAAAATTACCATCTCGGACCTCCTATAGCAACTGCGGCTGCAAATGTGGAATATCAGTCGAAATTCTTGTCACTACTTCCAGTGATGATTTTACCTGAACCCCAGGTAATAAACTGAGCTCCTTTTTAATGGCCTACCTGCTTAGCCAAAATATTGTTGTAGTCTTATCCACAACAGTTTGCTACCTAAGTTTGCACGCACAAACCCCACCAAGACGCACATGGCTTGCAGTTCCCACAACCAGCACTGCCCCTAATCTAGATAGGCTCTGTCACCAACTAGCTTTGGGAACCTGGGCAAGTTATCTACCAATCTGTGCTCAATTTCCTTATCTGTAAAATAGGGATAATTATCTGATAGGGTTGTTGTGAAGAGTAAATGCGCTATTACATTAAAAAGTGTGTGGAACAGCCCTGATCTGTGTGACTCGGTTGGGTGTCATCCTGTGAGCCAAGGCACATACCCAAGTTGCAGGCTCGATCCTGCAGGAGGCAGCAGATCTATGCTTCGCTCTCACATCAATATTTCTCTCTCTCCCTTCCTCTCTCTAAAAATTAATAAAAGTGTGGGGTTTTTTAAAGTGTGTAGAACAGCCCCTGGCCCAGACTTTGTATCAATGCTAGTTACAGTATTATCATTATTGACCTGAGTTCTACATTGTCTACATATTTTCTCATCTATTTCAGCAACCAACAGTCTGTATAATTTATTGACAGCAATTACAGAAAAAATTATTACGTTTCAAGCCCCTTAATCATCAGACTTCAGATTTCAGGACCTAGGTTAAATTTTGATTTGACTTTAGTTGAACTTGCTATCAGTTGAATATTTTGGATTCTCCCAATTCATGAAGATGTAAACAAGATGTGTGAAGATTAAATTGGGGACATATGTAAAAGGGTTTTTTTGAAATATAAAACATGAAATTATGGGTTATTATTCCAACATTATTATGAAGCTAGACAACTCCTGCAATTAGAAAATGAAATTCTTTGTTCTTCAAGTAAAGCTGCACCTCTTCCCAAAATGATTTCCACCTTTGTGGTTAAAGTGTAAATGAAACTGACTTAATAGGAATAATTTAAAAATAATAATGAAGACATACGTAAAGTCTAACATAGGGCGAAGATCTGAAGATGTTGAGATGGCCTTAAAAAATTTAGAACCAAATGTTGGCTTCTATTATCAGTCCTAGGAAATCACCTATGCAGCGTCCGGACAACTGTGTTAAATTAAGGGGTAAGCTTTTTTCAATGCTTGTGAAATTTATTCACATATCGAAGAAGCATACTTAAGGAAAACAAAAGCTGCCCTGGCTTTTGACCGCAAGTCGGGTACTTTCTGTCGCTGGTGCTGTGCCTGGAAACAGGATCCAGTTTTCATCCAGCTACTTCTACGGGGCCTCGAAAAGCTAAAATCCGCGGACAATGGGAGCTGCTGTTTAGTAGAATGCACTTTAACAATCCCCTCGAAGAGGGGTAAATGCTTCAAAGTGTCAGCTTGGAAAAGCCCACTCCAGGTCGGATCTCACACGATGAAAGACACAACCCGCAGGCTTTTGCTGCGTCGTTCTTAAAAAGAGGGGGCGGAGGGCTACGCTTTAAGGTTTACATTCGCCGAAAGCCG